CCCCCCTCCGATGTCACCTCCTATGTCCCATGTGCACCCCCCTCCGATGTCACCTCCTATTTCCCATGTGCACCCCCCTCCGATGTCACCTCCTATGGCCCATGTGCACCCCCCGATGGTCGCTGTCTGGGGGGGGTCTGCATCTTAGATGAGCTCTTCTAATTACATGTATCAGTGACGTGTGAGCTGCGCCACCCTCTCCTGTGATTGGACGGGGCGTAGTGCACCTGATGCGTTTGTCTCTGATTTGCTGCGTCAGTTTTGTATCTTTTACATGTAACTCGGCAACTTTGTGTCCCTCCCCCGATGGGTTGGCTGCCGATATACACATGACCTCTTAAGCCACACCCAGAATAATGGGGAGTCTGGGCCCGCCCCCCTCTTGTTGCTAGGAAGCGGTGCCGTGTCTAACTTTACCAGATGCCGGCGCCCGGTGCCAACCTTCACTTGTCCACATTCTACTACATCGTCCCCCAGGGTGTGAAATATGTTGGTGCGGCGGCTGGAAAGCGCTGACTCGCACAGCAATTCTCGCTCTGGAATCCCTTTTAGATGTAATGTGTGCTGATAAGGCTTGCTGGTACTTGTAGTCCCCCCACCAGCCGGGCCTCCGTCTCTGGTACTCTCTTGATCTTTGGCTGCCAAAGCAAACAACGACTTTATTAGTGTAAAAGTGAAAGTCTTCCATGTGTGCGGGTGATGGGATGCCCCCCTCCTGAGTCATTTCCTGCACACGATGCTCACAGATGACTCAGTGTCATCCTGTAACAGCTGAATGGGAAGTCTGCCCTCGCGTCTTCCCGGAATCAGGTTTCAGTGTTGTCCCCGGAGATCTCCGAGACGTCTCGTTGTCACATGATTGATGTGTACATTGTAATGGAACGAGGAAGCATTTCCCACACATGAGTATTCCCGACATTTCCCGCACGTTGACTAACATGTGTCCTTTATATTCTAGAATTTTACATAGAAGTTACCATAGAGGGGTGTGATTACAATGTGAATATCAGAGAGAGAGATGTATACACTGATCAGCCATAACATTGTGACCACCGAGAGGTGAAATCAGAGGTCTAGTGGGGTCAATGCCTGGACGGGTCAGGGAAAGGGGGACCTGCTCAGTATTAGATTGTTGCCGGCTTCTCACTGCAAAATGAACAACGTTGTCACCCTGTTACAGGAAGTAGAAAACCAGATGATTGGCAGGTAATTGAACCGTCATGTGTTCTCGATGGTGACAGATGGCTTCATAGGTCATTTTTATTGGCTCGGAGTTCCACTTTATTGTTTATCTGCCCCCGGCTGTGATGAAAGGTGCTGCATGGCGGCAGTTCATCGCCCGGCCTCCTCCAGATCGTTGCTTTGCAAACATTTCACTTCCCGTCCTCCTGGGTGCAGCCAGTAATCATACCGCTACCCACAGAGCCGTGCACGGGGTTCTTAGTCGCTTGCAATGCATTGTGGGACATCAGGGGTGCAAAGGTAATGGACCCCCCCCCCACCACCAAAGGCGGAGTAACGTTAACCGCAAACAATCCATATTTCTTAAACCAACTTGTGTCTTCCCACCACTTCCTCCTCCAATCTCACTGAGCTTTGTGTATTCAGCTCTGTGCAGTAACCCAGTGTGAGACTTGTGCTCTCTCTCCTTGTGCAGGGTGACTGGTCTTGTCTCCGCCCCCTCCTGTAATAAAGACCGCTCACTGCTGCTCTCTCTCCTTGTGCAGGGTGACTGGTCCTGTCTCCGCCCCCTCCTGTAATAAAGACCGCTCACTGATGCTCTCTCTCCTTGTGCCGGGTGACTGGTCCTGTCTCCGCCCCCTCCTGTAATAAAGACCACTCACTGCTGCTGCTCACTGCTGCTCTCTCCTTGTGCAGGGTGACTGATCTTGTCTCCGCCCCCTCCTGTAATAAAGACCGCTCACTGCTTCTCTCTCTCCTTGTGCCGGGTGACTGTTCCTGTCTCCGCCCCCTCCTGTAATAAAGACCGCTCACTGCTTCTCTCTCTTCTTGTGCAGGGTGATTGGTCTGGTCTTGTCTCCGCCCCCTCCTGTAATAAAGGCTGCTCTCTCTCCTTGTGCAGGGTGACTGGTTTTGTCTCCCCCCCCCTCCTGTAATAAAGACCGGGCACTACTGCTCTCTCTTCTTGTGCAGGGTGACTAGTCTCTCCCCCCCTCATGTAGTTGTCTGCAGGAAGCCTGCAGTAGGTGGAGCCATCTAGGCCACTCCCATTGCTCTGCTCAGCCTGCTGGCTTCTGAGAATTCTAGTTTCTTCCTGTCATGTTGATCCTCGGTTTCATTACTTTTGACTTGCTGACCCGGAACAAGTATGCCGGATCAGGAATGTGAGAAGCATTTTCCGGCGTACTGTTTCCTGCCAGTGAAGCCCGGGGATCAGAATGACGGTCTGCGTTGTCAGGCAGCGGCGGGTTCCTTTATTGCGGCCTCAGTCTGCGTGGCGCTCGGTGGCGCCTCGTTTTGGGCGGCATAAAGGATGGCTTAATCCCCGTGTTCTCTCGCATCCGCGGAGCTGCTGATGAGGCAATGCTGCTGCGGCGCGGAGCACTATAGCGCTCGTCAGATGATTAGTCAGCCCGTCGCTTTCCCTCCATTCAGCACATTCCCTATCATCTATAGCCAGATCCCCGCCGCCGTCTGCCCAGGAACACGCACTCCTCCTAGGTGCCCCCTGGGGGGAGGGGAGGGATTCAGACTTGGCCTGGGGGGAGGGGGGGATTCAGACTTG